AAGCAAGTTCCTCTCATTCGTCGAAGTTCTCTGCCGTCGGGTAAGAGGAGTGAGTCTTTGTCAAGAACGCCTGCTCGTATCGTGTTGTTTAACGTCGTGTTGCTCGGATGTCCCATTCGTTTATGCCAGAGATCTTCGTCAGCGCGATGTCCGGGTGAGCGGCGGTACAAGTCGGAGTTGGAGTAGAAGCCTGCGGTGTGGTTTGCGCTTCGATGGACTTCTCGTGGAGTTGGATTTAACTGTTGTGCAGGAGTCGGTGGTGTGTTGTCGACGAAGACCGGTGCCGTTGAAGGACCAGCGATTGGTGCCGATGTTGTCTCTGCTGCTGCTGGTGTTGTCCCTGCTGCTGCCGATGTTGTTTCTGCTGTTGCCGATGTTGTCTCTGCTGCTGCCGATGTTGTCTCTGCTGCTGCCGATGTTGTCCCTGCTGCTGCCGATGTTGTCTCTGCTGCTGCCGATGTTGTCTCTGCTGCTGCCGAGTGTTGAATCGTTGCTAATGCTCTTGTTCGTTCTGCCTCAGGAATAGTATGCGAATACCAGAAGCCTTCGGGGCTGAAGTCAGGATCAAGATCCGGTGGGTGCGTCCAGGAGGTGAAGGTGACGATTCCGTCGCTGTCGGCGGTGCCTAAATCTGGAACGAAGTCGAGGACGAACACGTTGTTCTTTAGCACGGCCTTGCCGATGTAAAGTCCGCCTTTCCCGTGGTACAGCTTGAATTCCTGAGTGGTGCTGTCTGCTTCGAGATGGATGCCTTTCGTCATCAGCTGGCTGACGCTCAGTAAGTTGTAGCTGAGTCCCTCCGCGATTAAGACCTTTGACATCTGCAGTATAACGTTTGTCTCCCTTGACTGAAGTTGAACCACGCCTTGTCGTCGTGTGCGCAGGTTCTGTCAGAATGTCGATGTTTGTCTAGCCTGCAGTGGGGTACTCTATATCGAATACAACCCAATTAGGGTTTCCTATATGTATCTCAACTGCTGCTAGTGAAAATACCCTCTTTCCTGTATCTGATTCTTGCCTAGACTTCTGACATGCTATCAGAGCAGGTCGACCCTCCTGGGTCGATCCTGTGGATGGGCCCGCCACCTAATGCTTCCGCTGCTGTCCTGCCTATCGCGCGCCCCGGGCGCGCGACGTGTTCTGCTTGCCGCGCGCTCGGGTGCACGGCGTATTTTTTCATCCCGCCGCGCGCTCGGGGCGCGCGGCGGTTTTCTGCCCGCCGTGCGCCCCGAGGCGCGCGGCGGTTTTCTGCCCCGTCGATCCGCGCGTCGCCCCCCGTCGCCCGTCGCAGCGCCCCCGAGGACCCGCGCGTCGCCCCCCGTCGCCCGTAGCGGTCCGCGCGACCTGCGCCAGGCCCGCGCGCGGCCCGTACAGCCCGCGCGCGGCCCGTACGGTCTGCGCCAGGCCCGCGCGCGGCCCGTACGGCCTGCGCCAGGCCCGCGCGCGGCTCGTACGGGCTGCGCCAGGCCCGCGCGCGGCCCGTACGGGCTGCGCCAGGCCCGCGCGCGGCTCGGGCAGCCCGCGCGCGGTTCGTCCGGCCTGCGCCAGGCCCGTGAGCGGCCCGTACCGTCTTCCCCAGTGCCGCACGCCGTCCCCCGAGCTTCTGGCCGCACTCCTGTGTTAGGGTTTGGGGGTGGAGAGTATGGGGGTGCCGTGTGTGTGAGTCGTCCCCTGCTCCTCCTCCTCCTCCGTCTCCCACTGCTGCAGCTGCCGCTGAGGGGGGTGGATGTGTTGGAGCCGTCGGAGTGGTACGAGGGGGGTGGCGTGTGAGCGGTGCTAGTGGTTCAGCAGGGGGTGTGTGAAAGGGGTGTGGGACAGTTGGGGGAGGTTGACCGGAGGTAGCCGACTTGTCGTCCGCAGCGCCTGAAGTCCAGAGAGCCACGACCCCCTGTGGCCGTGTAGTCCGGGGCTCTGCGCCCGGTAGCCACAGTGTGAGCACTCCTGGTAGTCCAGAGAGCCACGACCCCCTGTGGCCGTGTAGTCCGGGGCTCTGCGCCCGGTAGCCACAGTGTGAGCACTCCTGAGAGCACAGTGAGCCAGCTGCGCCTGTCGCCGTGTAGCCCGGGTTTAGCATGGTAGCGTCAGTGCTGCGCACTCCTGTTGCCCGTGTGTCTGCAGCTTCAGCCGTCGCCTCTCATCTTCTCGTCCTCCATAGTTTCTCCTCCTCCTCACTTGCCCTCTGTGATAGCCTCTAGCTTTGCTTATCCTTGTGAACTATTGCACTGCCTGCTTGTTGTGTTGATTGTACCCCACTTTGACTATGGGGGTGTGTCAGAATGTCGATGTTTGTCTAGCCTGCAGTGGGGTACTCTATAGCGAGTACAACCCAATTAGGGTTTCCTATATGTATCTCAACTGCTGCTAGTGAAAAGACCCTCTTTCCTGTTTCTGATTCTTGCCTAGACTTCTGACAGGTTCTGGTTGTTGGCGACGGTGATCACGACTTCCCGTTGAAGTTGGTGTTCCCGTTGAACGAAGCGACCCGAGGAGCACATATGCTGCCCGCAGCAACTGTCCAAGAACCAGGTATCCTTCCCGGATGGTTCGCTTTGGGCGATGGTTGCGTACGTTGGGTTCGGTTGAAGTGATTCGCGGCGAGGGGTACTGTTGTCGAGCTGCTCTTCCGGTGAGTAATGCGGTGGAGACTCGGTGATGCAGGAGTCAGTCAATCTTGCCATGCAGCTGACGATGTTTCTTGCTCCTTGTGCAGATTGTGTTGGCGATGCTGCTGAAGACTGCGGCTGGCTTGTGGGGTGCGCCTGTGTGGACGCTACTTGACTGCTTGAAGGGCGAAATTGACGTTGTGGTGGCGTTGATTGCTATCGATTCGGGCAGTGTGTGCGAGGGTGCCCTGACGTCTTGCAGAGATGACAGAACGGAGGTACGGGTTTTGGTTGATGCCGGTTGTTGTTGTTGTTGTGGCGCCGTTGAGTGTGGAACGCAAATTCGGGTACTGACGTTTTCTTCTTGTGCCGCTCCTCTTGCAGGTCCATGTCTTGCTGCTCAGCGTGGATTTCGACGCAGAGTGCTGCTTCGGAGATCTTCCCGTGAGTTCGGGGTATGGCGCGAGTGGAGCGCCAGTGAGGACCAAGACCGCCGATAACAACTGTGACGAAGGCGTCTTCCGATATCGACCCTCCACATCGAAGGAGTTTGTCGCGCAATTCGCGACAGCGACTAATATACGCCATTCCCTTTTCGCCCGGTTTCATTTCCACTGTTGTCAGTTGTGCCATTAGCCGACTCTGATTGACGCTGTCTGTTGCCTAATACAGGTTCTTCAAGTGATTATACACGAGCTCGGCGGAGTTGCCGTATCCCCTGTAAGACCGAATGTTCTGCTGCTGATTCGGAGTGATGTTCCTCAGCAGGATTGTGTATGCCATCATTGACTGATATGTGTACTGCTGCTTGTCGTACTGTGTGCCGTGTGTTGGATATGGTAGGGACCCGTCGAAGAAGCCAAGAATCTGCGCGCCTTCCATCATCAGCTCGAACTCGAATGACCAGGTAAAGAAATCCTTCCCGTCGAACGGTCTTGATGTCTGAAGTTTTAAGACATGCGCGAACTGCGACTGGACTTGAAGTGCGTCTAACGTTTTCTCTTGTCCAGGTGAGGGTTGCTGGTGCGGTATGAAGCTGATGGAGCCGCGCTGGGGCTCGTATGGAGCAAAGGTAGGCTGCTGCTGCTGATTTCCGCGCGCGTAGGATGAGCCGTCAAGACTCATGGGCGTCACTTCGTTGTTGTTGTTGCTGTTGTTTGACTGCGCAGGTGCCGTTTGCTGGTGTTGTTCGTAGAAGGACATGAAGGAGAAGAATTTCTCCATCATGCTTGGGTCGAAGCCTGCCGGTTGATTCGCAGGAGTTTCAGTAGACCCTGCTGCTGGTCTTGTTGCCGTACCTTCCTCTGTCTGTAGGCCGGAGGCAGGTGGTTGAGTAGGAGTAGTGCCAGGAGAGCCATTGTAGGAACTTCTCTCCTTCTGAGTAGCCATGCCTTCTGATGTTGTAGGTGTCTTGATAGTGGAGTTTGCCCTGATTGCTCTCATACCATGTTGGGCTGAGAACAAGCCCTTAGGATCTTTGCAGGACTAAACTCTGGGTAGGAACAATGTAATAGCGGAAGCGTTTAATGATGAGTCTATGAACCACCTTGCGCTGGTATGTGAGGGCAAAGTAGATTGATTAATCAAAGAGATACAAGGCTTTTATAAGAGTACAAGGAATATGAAAAAATGCAACTAATAACTGTTTTACTGTTTGCTGTTGCGGTTCGATACAAAGACGACTCGGGCAACTGCTCGATAACGAGTCAGTTGTTTGTCCTTGCTGTCGCGCTGTACTTGTCAGGTCAAAGGTCGCTGACCTTTGACTTTCGCGTAACCTCCAGCAGTTGCTCAACCTCCGAGGGTTGACTCGCTGATGCTTCGCTGTGTTTCGCTTCGTTTATGACTTAGTGTTTCGACGCGACAGAGGCGCTTAAATCACTTGTTTCCAACATGATTTACCTAGTAGCAGAGCGCAGGTCGGTTGGTTGGCATTCTATATGGCAGTGTGTGTGACCATCGCCCTCAACTCAATTGCTTTGACCACCACACCATACTATACCGTACGGTATGCAAATAGTGCATCACTGTGCCCCCCTCCGGTGCAATTGTATTGATAGGTAGTTAGTGCGTACCTACATTCTGACTGGCTTGCGTGTAATGTAAACACATGATGTCATTATGCCGTTCCCCATATTAAGTCAGTTTTGAGAATCCTCAAAAGCCTCCCACCATGTCACATGAAAAGGAACCATCCCCATCAACTGTGTAACACTAGCTGCTACCATATTATTCCGCCCCTATTGTCCTTCCCAACGAGGGGTGTGCAATGCAAGCATGCACGCATGAATGCACCATGATGCTCTATGTCCATGATACTGCCAGAACTGTCACACCATGGCACCATCACGTGGTGTGTTGTGGTGTGATGACATATCATCCCACCATAGAATCCTCCTATCCTCCTATCATCCTATCATCCCAGCATGTCACAATGCTGCTCCTCACAACCTCATGCCCGAGCTAACCATAGCATGCATGCCTGCATCCATCCTCACTATCCTTCCCCAGCAACCTCCTCCTACACCTGCGTCTGTGACTGCAGCCAAGCAGCTATTGCAGCAACGCAGCAGACTCAGCTAATTAGCCAATGCAACGCAACCACGAAGGTCACTTGGGGCTCCGAAATCCGAAATCGCCTTGGTTGACTGCTACTGCAGCCGCACTTCCAGCGCCATCCCTTCTTGTCCCTAATGTTTGGAGTCTCTGCTGCTGCTCCTGCTGCTGCTACTGCTCCGATGCTGGCCCTGCCTCCTGCTGCTGCGGCGCCTGTCGTGGTTTTCTTAAACGGGGCTTGACTGACTTCCATAGCTTCGGCGCTGCTGCTGCTGCTGCTGTTGCTGCTGCACCTTCTGCTGCAGCTGGAGGTGAATTCACAGAGTCTTGTTGAGAAGCGGCGGCTGTCCCTGCACTGGCAGCAGGGCGTGTGGGAGGAGGGGTTGCTCCTACAGGAGCTCGCCGGCGAGGAGGAACAGTAAGCAGCGACTTGGAAGTACCGGTAGTAGCAGCTGTAGGAACAGCAGCAGTGGGTGCAACGGCAGGAGCAGCAGCAGTGGGAGAAACGGCAGGAGCAGCAGCAGTGGGAGAAACGGCTGGAGCAGCAGCAGGAGTAGCAGGAGCAGCAGGAGCAGCAGGAGCAGCAGGAGCATCAGCCGCATCAGGTCCAGCAACTGTAGCAGCAGCAGGAGAAGAGGGGAAGTCCTGGTCCTCCCGGTTAGAAATAACTAGAGGTTCAGCAGTGCTCCATGGCACGTCCACATCAATTACTGCGCCCACTGCTGTGGTGTCAAGACAATGGTTGCCGCCCTTCTGCCACTCTATCTCGCCTCGCTTCCCCACCATCACACACTTGAACGGCAGAGACGAATCACGAGGTACCACCTGGGAGGGAGGGGAAGGCGCCAGAGAGCGGAAGGAGAGCGGTTGGGAAGGGTTTATTTCTTCTAAGGAGTCAGTACTTTCTGATACTCCACCAACCCTCGCTTCCGCTCCATCACACGCTTTAACGCAGAGACGTATTGCGAGGTAGGTACCAAGTGGGAGGGAGGGCCAGGGTGCCATGTACACAAGAAGTGGAAAGAGAGCGATTGGAACCAAACTCCAAAGTGACCTTTTAAGGTCACTTTTAAGGTGACGCCAAACTCCAACCCCTCGTGAAACCCCTTGTGAAGCCCCGAAAGAGTTTTGCCACCCCTTGTGAAGCCCCTCGTAAAACCCCTTGAGATCAATAAATAATCGCCACCCCAGCTGACACTCGCTGCTGCAAAGTTTTGAGATTAGTGTAAGCCTGCTTGCTTTTCCGCATGCTTAGCATCACCAGCCAGTAGGCTCTCAACCTGCCACTCGCGTGCCACCCCGGCAGTCCCCTGCACGACCTGTCTGCTTGGTTGGCAGCACAGCACCACAGACGCCCCTGTGACATTCCATTGTCATATCCTTACGAGAAACCACAATTTCTAGGGGAAATAACCCCTTAAAACAACCACTGATGCCCATCATCTAGAAAGCAATAATAAGCGACGCAGGTTACCACCTCGACTGTTTCGCACAGTGAAAATTCCATGCAGGTTACCACTATTTGATTTGGCCGACAAATCGGGGTCCATGAACGAAAGTGAGGTACTACTTAGGCTCTTTCGAAAACTTGTCAAAAGGACATTCAGCCAGTCAATCAGTCAGCGAGTCATACAGTCATTCATTTAGTGAGAGAATGAGTGAGCCAGATGGTCCGTCAGTCAGTCAGTACGTCAATCAGTCAGACAATCAGTCAGTCCGTTCGTCAGCCAGTCAGCCAGCCAGCCAGAAAGTCAGAAAGCCAGTGAGAAGGTCAGTCTCACCGCCGTGGCCGTCCAAACGTGCCCTTCAGACCACTCCCCAGGTATCGCCTTTTTCAGATCCCACCCGCCCAGCGCCTCGTGCGCGCCCGACACGAAGAATTTCTGCCCGTACGCGCACTGCCGTGCCAGACGGAACGCCACTGTCACTGACCCTGTAGGCGCCGCCGCTGATGCAGGTTTTGCAGGTGGGAAGGGAAGCAGGTAGGAGCGTGGGTGGTCAAGCAAGTAGGTAGGTCGGTAGGGGGAGAGCGTGTGCCACACGCATATGAACGAATAGGATTGTCGACGAGAGACACGCAAAGAAAAGAAGAGGAAGAAGAAAAAGAGCTCGCGAGGTTGAATCAGCCAGTGCGAACTTCAACGACGATTCTCTTTCTGTGTCGAACTACTGGGATTTGCAGTGGCTTATGCACAAACGCCCAAATGAGGAGCGATAGACGTCTTACGCAGACGAAGGGAATTCAAACGAAGGGGCTAACGGTCCACTGGTTCCGTAAAAGAAAATCGCGAATAATGAGCGAATGACAATACGGGTAACATAGGTTACTCGAATAAGCACAAAAACTAGCAAGACGAACGGAATAACCACGACAGAGACATCACCCAACACAGCACCCCAACGGATCACTCTAAGGCAACACCAAAGCGTAGCACCGCAGCGCATCACCCCAACGGATTACCCCAGCGGATCACCCCCCAGCGCAACGGACTACCTGCACTTGACGGCTCGGAAGATCCAGACGCCGCGCGGATCGACGTCGCGTCTGGGGCTCTCGCTAGCCGCGAACCGCTAACGAGCGACATGGGCGACACGAGAGTCAGACCGGAGAGGTCTCGATTTCGCATCGTCAAACCCCATTGCTGTGACGACGTGTGCCGTCCGCTCCACGAACGCGCTGTCACGCTAACGACACCAGAGGGTCTACCACATGCGGGTGATGGAATAATGATGATAGATGGGCCATGGCTGTGGAATGGCCTGGGCCGCGTCAAAGATTCGGTGGTCGCGAAAGCGCTTCTATTAAAACGGTGGCTATCAGATAACGTTGGTGCTGATGCTGCTGCGGATGCTGAAGATGGCTCAGGAAGGATCTGGGCAACGGGTCGCCTGGCGGCGTGGGGATTCGCGAGGCGGAGAAGCATGTTCTATGTGGAGCTGGAGAAATCTCTCAGACTTGGCGCTAGAGCTTGATGAACGAACGAACACAAACTAACGGCAAGGACGGTTGAGGGCAAACAGTCAAAACCTAAGAAGTTTACTTAGTTATTTACTTAGACTTTCAAGGCTCCAGAAGTTTCAGAAAGAAATGTGAGTCTAAGAAAGGTAAAGAAACAGAAAAGGCAACACAGATTTGCATGAAGTGGCTGGAAAAGATGGCGAAAGTGACGAACTGTGACGATGTAAGGATGCAGTTGACGAGCAGTGTGGTTTGGTATGTTCTGGGCCGGTGATGTGGGTTTGGCTCTGTGCAGGCTGGAACATGAAATTCAGGCAGGAAATCAGAATTCGCCTCAATATACTTTGTCCGAGGGACTTTCCCCAGAATCACAAAACGCTAAGCGCCAACCACACCCCGAGTGTAGGAAAGATCAACTGTCATCAATCCAGAGACTGGAGCACTGTGTCATTAGGACTGGACTGCCTCGTACATTCATACTGTATTATGGAGATACTTACAGAATCCTGGACGATTGGTGCCCAAAGAATCACTACTGTGATGAGTTAGGGTCTGCTCCGAGCTCGAAACTAGTAAAAAACGGTATACGTGGAAAAGTGGAGTCCAAAATGTTCCAACTGGGGTTAACTGAAACCGAATGAACAGATTCCGACGTGGCGAACTTTCCTGTCTTCGAGGATCTTTGTTTGTGCCAGCTATTTGAAATCGACAGACAGATTTAATCAGCCCTTCGCGCTGATAGGCGGAATACGAACGAGACGTGCGCGGATTGGAGGAGCTGATATCAAGATTTCTGGGGCCCCACCGCGTGGCTGCACTTTATTAGTCAAGTCAAAGATCTTATCAAGGACCCTCCACACCAGCAGGCGGGAGGCACGGCCCCGTAAATCATAACGGTGAGTAGGAATGAGGAAAGGTTCTGTACGTTAGTGTGAACTGAAAGTTTTAGACATAGCAACAATGAAAGGTTATAGTACTCACATAACCATACCTAGCCTAATAACTCCAACCACCATCATTCACATGGACAACCCTGCTCTCATGACACCACAAATAGCAATATTGAGAAAGCTTGCTTTCTTATTTTTATCAATTGGCATCGTTCTCATTACAACTGGGTTATTACAACATTTGCATCGAGATTGAACACAAGCTAGTGCATGCTAATATCACTAGCTAAGATGTACCCTATCCAAGTGGCATTAGCAAGGCGTTCTACGCTGGGGTGGGTGGTGGGGATGTTGAGTGAGCCGTTTGAAATACAGAAACGTGGGTGGAGGGAAATGAGCTCCAACCCACGGTTTTTGTAGTTGGAGAAGGGCGTTTAGCGCGCTTCGACGATGCCAATTGTGCAGTACAAGCAGCTTCGCTTTCACAATACACAATTTTAAAAAACACAATGTGTGTTAAAAAATTATAATATTGAGAAAGCTTGCTTTCTTATTTTTATCAATTGGCATCGTTCTCATTACAACTGGGGTCTCTGAGACATGGGCAGCGGGGGCCTCCTATGGCGTACGAGCGCCTCTGTGTGTTGCGCCGAAGACACCGCCTGCGTCGGATCTTGCAGGTTGCGGGATGCTGTGATGAGAGGCTCGACGTATGGCGTGACGTACATTTCCTTAGCTGTGTCGCTTCGCCATCTGCCCAGTCGTTTGAAGACTCTGTCTGGCACTCCAGTGTTGGCTGCTACTGTGGCGCGCCTTTTCGGAAAGAGTGAGTGCCGAGCTGCAGCTCTCCCAGACCAACTTTTGCGAAAGCTTCCTTACACCAGTTCCGAATTGTAGTGTATGAAGGCGGCTTCGCTTGGCCTTTGCTGCTTGAAGCGTGCCCGAAGACACGAATCAACGGTCCCTCTGACTGAGGACCATAGCCGGCGAGTTGGATGAAGCGTCGGGTGCAGCGCACTGGGCAACAAGGGTCTGTCGTTGCTGCAATGGGTATCCATGTTCCGTGACCGGCCTGATCGGTCTTAGAGTGTGGTATGAGGATCCACATGACCTCTTCGTCGAATTGGATGTCTTGCCATTGTATGGCCACTAGGTCGGAGTATCGCAGAAATCCTGAGTACATGAGGATGGGGATCAGCCCTTTCTGAAATTCCGCAGGGTCGTCAGACTGCAGGTAACTCCCGGCCATGTCGCGGACTTGTTGGATCGATACGGGTTCCTTCAGACGAGTAGGGCGGGGGCAGTGTCGTTTTGCACAGTCGCGGACTTGGGTGGTAAATGGACCGATTGTTGGGCATTTGTTCCCAGTCATGCGATGGGCGAAGCTTACTGCCGAGCACGTCAGCTGCACTACGGACAGGGTGGCTTTGCGTCGGATTGCGTGAACCAGGTATAGTGCGAGTGTCATGTCGGAAGCTGGAAGAAAGGAGAGATCCACTTTTGTGCAAAATGCTCGAAACTTGGCCCAGTATGGTTCGTATGTCCGGATCGTAGAATCGGCGCGTGACTGCGCGAGCATTTTGATCAGTTGGTCGTGTAACTTTGGGAGCAAATCTGAACACAGGAGTGGACAATATGCATTAGTCAAATACCACTCGCAGTGCAATGATTTGAGAAGATTTGAACAAGAATGAATGAACTATGAAATGAAGTGAGTACAAATATGAAACCCTAATTGGTTGTACCCCCTATGGGATACCCCACTATAGCCTACACAACAGCATAAGCTATAATGTTCTGACACACCCCCATAGGCAAAGTGGGGGAGAACAAGGGGTCACAAGACCAGTCAAGCAAAGTAAAGCAAAGCAAGCTCAGGGTGGATCACAAAGTCACCACACAGTCCGAGCACAGGGTCAAGGCCACACGGCCAGTTCACATGCAAGAGTACACACATATATATAAAGCTAGACAAGCAAGAGCAGGTATATATATATGTGAGAGTACAGGCAAGGTCAAGAGGAGAGCAAGTGAGGCAAGACGGGCACAAGACCCAGCTGAGTGCAGAAGCGCTGATGATCACAAGGCGGAAGTGCCTTGGTGAAGACATCAGCAGTGTTGGCCTCAGAGGCCACGTACGCAAGCCGCAACTGACCACGTTGCTGTAGCTCACGAGCAAGGAAGTAGCGGAGAGCAATGTGCTTTGTTCTGTGCTCCAGTCGCTGCTCTCGACACAAGGCCAGCATGGCCTTGTTGTCTACGTACAGGACTGGAGGAGAACGAGGCGGCTCTCCAAGGTCGGTCAGCAGGTAGGTGAGCCAGCGAAGCTCCTGTGCAGCCATGGCCCCGGCGTAGATCTCAGCCTCACAACTCGAGCCAAGAACAGAAGACGAGCGAGTAGCCCGCCACGAAACAGAGCCGGAACCAAGGCTGAAGGTGTAACCCTGTGACGACCGCTGCGTAGCCTGGTCGTCAGCCCAAGAAGCGTCCGCGTGCCCAGTGAGGACCACTGGACTCCGCCCTCCAAGCACTAGCCCCATGCCCGACGTACTGCACAAGTAGCGCAACACCCTCTTCGCTGCAGCCATGTGCTCTGGTCTGTGTCTCCCAGGAGCAACATAGCGTGCCAGAATGCTAAGAGGGTATGCAAGGTCAGGTCGTGTGCAGGTCATCAGGTACATGAGGCAGCCAACAAGCTCTGGGTACGGGCCACTCGACTCTACGGACTCATCCGAAGGCAGAGCTGAGAGCGAGTGGCGAGTAGACAGAGGAGTGGCCTGAGGCGAGGAGTACGTGAAGCCGAAGCGCTGAAGGACCTGCTGCACCATGTGTGACTGAGTCAGGGTAATGGTGCGGCGTGCTCTGTCCCGGGTGATCTGCAAGCCAAGGTAGCTGCGCAGTTCACCCAGGTCTGTGCACGTGTGTCTCTTCTGCAGCTCGGACTTCACGTAGGCGAGTCCAGCAGTGTCAGCTGTGGCAAAGACCAAGTCGTCGACGTATACGAGGATGTAGAACGGCGGCAGAGAGGTGTCGGTGCGTAGAAACAGCGACGGGTCGGCAGTAGAAGGAGCAAACCCAAGAGCCGCAAGTGTAGTCCTCAGTGTGTCGTGCCACTCACGTGGCGCCTGGCGGAGACCGTAGACTGGACGCCGGAGACTCCACTGGGTACCAGAAGGGAAAGACCCAGTGAAGCCAGGTGGGCGACGCAGCCAGATCTCCTCGTGCAGGCTGCCCTGCAAGAAAGCTGTGCTGAAGTCAAGAGAGTGCAGCTCGTAGTCACGGTGAGCAGCAACGTGCAGCAGTACCCGAAGAGTGGTCATCTTCGGGGTGGGGGAGAAGGTCTGAAAGTAGTCAACTCCCTGCCGCTGACTGAAGCCACGAGCCACGTAACGCGCCTTGAAGACAGGCGGAGAACCCGGCGGCCGCTTCACCCTGAAGATCCACATGCCACTGACGATGTTCGCCCCAGGAGGGGGGACAGCGTCAACGTAGGTGCCTGTGGACTTCCAGGAAGCCATCTCTGCATCCATAGCTGCCTGCCACTGAGAGGAGTAGGGACCCTCTATCGCCTCCGCGTAAGAGCGCGGAGTCGGGATGTCAAGTGCATCCGGGTCTCCCTCAGGGGTAAGCAGTACGGACACGAGATGAGGTGAGGCAGCTGCCAGACACTGGAACTCCTCCTGCCTGTCCTCAAGGACGTCCGTGCCAAGGGCACACTCACCCCCGACGGACGGAGGACAGACAGACTCAGACTCAGCGACAAGACTAGCAGCGTAGT